AAAAAAAAAATGATAAATCACTTACAGCTCCAAATTTCCCTTTCCTATAAGCATGAAAGCAAATTTTATTCTGCTAAGTATTCACACTGTCTTGTTGGTCAGGTTGAAAGACTGTAGCAGTAAAGAGGTCTGAGAGATGAGCAGTCAAGAGAGTGGAGAATGAAGTGTAGAGAAGTCACTTTCGTTAGTTTTCTTTTTTAGTAGAATTGAAAATATTTCCTATTCAGGAAATAAAAATAAAAGTTGAGCAGTACTTACCTTTTTTTCTAAGCTGCCTCCTACCCTGAAAATTCACAGAACAAACATGCGCAGCTAAAGATGGAACTTCATCAGCTTAATGAGTGGCCAAAGCTGTAGTCAAGCAGAAAACCACCTACACCACAGCTGCACTTGTACTTGTAATCTGCTTGCTTAAGTGTCCCTAACCCTTAACTTGATGGGGAGGAGTTTAACTTTAAAGTTACTGCTTACATTAACACACCTCCGTGGTTCTACGATTGTATCACAAGAGATGTTGCGTTAAGGCATGCCTGCTCTGAGTCTTAAGGCGCGGTGGTGGTAAAGCATTTTGTATAATATTCAGGTATGAAAACAAATCTGCATATTTAACAGTGAAAGGGAGCCTGTTAAAATTAGTACTGAGAAGCAGTGGATTAAATTAAACACATTTGCATATCTTGTGACAGAAGAAGTAGTCCTATAGTGCATCAACCAACAGTCAGTCAACTGCATTATTAGAAAGCAGGATTTTTCAACTCTGGTGGTGATAAATTCCTGATCTCTGCTCTGTGTTTGAGTGATAATGTGGTCAGCTGCAGAACATCTATGTCTCTCTGCACTGAAGTGTCTACTCAGTGTGCAAACACACAGAACCACAAAGGCATTTGATAATAAAGAGCTTTGGTGCAGGTAGTTATGTTACGGTGCCTGGATGACACGACTCATCGTTTGAAAGGAACTACAGAACAGAGAATGGCAACCAAAAGCCCCTTGCAGAGCCCACCTGTGACCGTACGTGGCACACACACATCACAATAAAATCACAATGCTATCAAAGTGCTGGTTGTAGCAGTGCCACACCAACACAGGTGAGCCAGTGAGGTCACTCTGTGCCATCTTCCAAGGTGGTTTCCCCCAGCCAGGACTAGGGCACGTGTAAGAAAGAAGCCTGAATTGCTTCTGAATTGCTTCACGTGCTGCTGCAGCACAGGAAACATTCTGAGGCTTGCTTCCAAACATCACTCAAACCCACTCCATTCCAACAATCTCATCTTCAAATTTAGGAAGAAAAATAATTCAAGTGTGAGGTACTGCCAAAGCAAGGACTTGGCCACCAGCCAGAAATCCACTCATTAGAAGTCAGTGCACCCTTGCACCGTGCAGCTTGAGTAACACTAAATAATTTAAATGACCTGGTTTGGGAGCCTTTTCTTTTTTTCTTTTTTTTTTTTTTTTGGCTGGGGAAGGCCACATTTTCTTTCTTCGTGCTGTGAACCTCCTAGTGACTGTTTTCACTTAAAAGCCTGAACCTGATCCTTTCTGTGTGTATACATACCTTTCTTAGTGTATACATATATACATAGTAGTATAGTAGTATATAGGATATAGTGTAGTATACATTATATTATAATACCTACCCCCTCCATGCCCACCGACTATGGCCCTCAGTGCCACATCTTCGTGGTTCTGCAAGAGGTATTTTGGTGCAGAAAGATCAGAGCCTGGTTTTTATCTCCCTTGTGCTGCTTTACATCTCTCTGACGCTCCAAAGATTTACCTTAAGAGGAACTTGTTGGCAGGTATATATTTCTGATGGCAGGGTATGCCCCTCAAACAGTTCTGCCTTATCACAACATTCACTTAAAATTTTCCATCAAACTGTATCATGGGACCCTTCTAAAATGCTTTCACTAAAGCCAATTATGTAAGTACCTTTAGAAGTGAGACGTTCCCATATTGCTAGTAGGAGGTATGAATTAATTCTGTTACAGTCTATTCCACCATTTGTCTAATCACTCCTGACATTTTACCTTTCGCTTTGTAAAACGTTATCATCAAAACAAAAACAAACCAAGCAATGTTTTGTTTGCCATTGTAATCTGATTGGAAAGATGCTATTAATTAACTGCTGTACACAATTACACTTGAAAACTAGTGCTAGCTCTTAGGAGAAGATGGATTCAGAAAGACAATTGTTATTTATTGTTATTAAGGTTTCTGAAGCAATAAAGATATATTAACAAATCACCCACACATTCCAGGTATTAGTATTTGTGGGCAATAGCTCAGAAATTCTTTGGTCTAAACAGTTTTGTGGCTCATTGGGTGTATGACTCCAGGAGCTGCCAGAACTGAACACAAAGATGTACTTGCTTCGTCTCTGCAGATGAGTCTGAAAGTACACAAAGAGCAGAACTGAGCAGCCCCCTCCCTCACAAGCGGTGCGTGGCACCATATGTTGTATGATGTCTTGGTCCAATACACAGGCTGAGATTTTTTCCAGAAGAAAGCAAAAATATTTTACAAGATCTGGAATTATCTGTTTCTCAGTTACAAGCAGAGGAAATATTCCTCTACAAGATATTAAGCAGAAACAGACACAAAATTCCACTTATCAACAGTGACAGTTTGGTCTAAGCCCCGTAAGTAGCAGGAAGCTGCCTTTCACAAATGCGTGTCAAGAATTGTCCTCACCTTAAAATTATTGCTCTTCTTTTCTTTCACAAAGAGATTTTCGGAAATCGTGTTTCCTATAATTGTATCTCTCCTTGTAGTAAGGGAGATATAAAAATAATCATTATATTGCAGCAGTTTTACTTCAGTGCCCAAAAGGTTTACAGTGAAAAGGGATCCAAGGCCCTTCAAATGAAAGAGGTTTTGAAAATCCTTACCTCAGTCACGGACGATCATAGTGAGTTACATTTTGTGCCTCAATCCGACCTCTGAGCTGAGGATGTAGCTTCTGATTGGAAACGTGATGTGATTAGTGATCACACTGCTTCATATGGAAAAGTTCATCATAGAGTAACTGCTTAAAATGCAACGTAAACAGGTCTGTGCCAATATTTTGACTTTATGTAAACAATTCAAGCTGTGTAACTTTGGAGATAATGACACATAATGCAGAATAAAATGCTCTGAAAGAGTTTCATTGAATTAATCTGCATTGGGTTCAGGAAGGAAATCCGTATACGAAAGGCAAAATACGAAGTTCTGTGCACCTGTTGAATGCACTCTCAACAAGGTCAGGAGCTTCCAGAGAGCATCCTGGGAAAGGGCTTCACTACTGTGAGTTAAATGGGAAAAGAACAACTTTGAAACCTTGTGCTGTCATTAATCCCATTCACAGAGCTTCACAAATTGGTATCCGTGACAGACTGGAATATACAATTTTGTCTGCGTAAGCATAAATGAAGAATTTCTCGCTGTTCTGATACTACTTCTCCCGGCAAACACTCCTCTTAGCAACATCACATTCAAGCCTGGAAAGGACAGCAACTAGCAGTTTAAAATCCCATTAATAAAGGAAAGCAATCTGTACATAGGAGTTTATTTGGATGCCCACAAGTTTTAAATCATTCCCCTTTTATATCTCATCCCACTGGATGTCTCATCCAACTGAATTACCGTTGGGTTTTACAATGTGATATACAAAATGAGCTGGCATGATTTACAGACATCCTTGGAGTATCATACAAAACACAACCATTTCCCTTATTATACAATCATTATGGCAATGCAAATATAGTCAATACATCAATAGCTGGAAATGACGGGGCATTTAAAGAAAATAAATTTACCACACAAACCAGAGTTAGATAAAACAAATAACGTTTGAAAAAAAAGGGAAGTAAACTGTCTGAATCGTCACATCATTTTTTATATTGTTTTGCCAGTTTTCCCCTTGTAAGAAACATGGCAGTACTTCATTTAAGACTCTTTTTTCATTTCAGTCACACTTCATTCTTCTTTTAGCAGTGTCATGTTTTCCGCACGAAGCTATGAAAGCCTCAGATGTTGACTGTCCAGACAGTAGTCACTTTACTTATTCCTGCACTCCTTTCCACAAACTCGTTGTTCAGTTAATTGAATAAAAAGAAAAACAAACAAGCAAACAAAAAAACCCACTGCACAAATGAGCAGAACAAAACACAACAGCACATTAAAAAGGTGACATTTAAGCTGAAGATGTCATCATCATAGAAATATATTCTTGCTCTAGTGTCACAAACTTTCTAGCCTCAGGAGAAAAGTAGGCATAAACAGAAGAGAAACTAAACTCTAACCTCAGTACAGGGCCGAGTTTTCATTTGTATTTCTATCTAAACTTATGTACTAAAAGACACTGTGTGCATGGTAAATTTAAAACTTTTTCTATGTTGTAAAATACAAAAAGAGAAAAACCTGTTACTGAGCCATTAACTGGGTAATGAAAGTTACCAACATTTAAGGTCTGCTGTCCTGCATGTCGCTGGCACAGCACCTTCTGCACTTTGCCATTACGGCAGCAGTTACTGAGAAGGGTGGACATCATTATCACTGCAAATACAAAAAAGAAAAAAATCTGAACTAATCGATGACGTTACAATCAACAGCAAAATCTTACCAAACTGCAAAATCCATTCAAACTGCATCATCTCAAGGCTGACCATTTTCTCACTGCAACACTGAGAGGGATTATACCCTTTTTCAGCATTTGCAGTTTCTCTTGCAAAGCAGAACACAGATAAGGACTATTGACTCTTCTGAACATGTGTTGAAATGGCGGTGTGATGTTTTCGTAGCATTGCTCACTATGGGAGTCTTGCTGCTGCTCCACACACATGGAAAAGAAAGTGCTTTTTGCCATGGCATTTATAAGACAGACTCAGTTTGATTACTTCCATTCTATTCAATCAAATATACCTTTCAATGTTTTAAAATGTTGGACAGCTGTGAAATATAAGTACTATGCAATCTGACTGTACATACATACATATTTTCATAAATACATCCGACAGGGACCTTGGAACTAAGTATGTGATATCATGGGACAAAATCACAACAGGCTGTCTCGTTTGTAACATTTAGATCCAAAGTAAGAAGAGCTGAATTCTATCATGTTGTCAATACACAAATTAAAACAAAAATACAGCATTAGTATACCCATGAAATAATTTAAACATGTTTGCAAATGTCTTGACAGGAAAAGTGTGCAATTTACAACACTGAGAACTTGTAACAACCATTGACTTATATGCGCTGTACTGTAAGTCACCCAGACAAGGCTAGCAAGGATGAGCATAGTGATAGGTCCCAAAGGCAACTCCCAAACATCTTCCTCTTGCGGAGACTTTGGTAATTGTC